TAATTTTTTATCTCATACAGCTTCCACATTAAAACTAATTATTAAAAGATATATGGCTCAATGCCTCACTAGGGCACCAACCACATACCCTGGAGCTGGCAGGTTCAAATCCAGCCCGGGCCTAGCAAATAACAATGACAAGTATAACCAAAAAATAGCCAGGTGTTGTGGTGGGCACCTGTAGTCCCAGCTACGCAAGAGGCTGAGGCAAGAGAATCACTTAAGCCCAAGGGTTGGAGGTTGCTGTGACCTGTGATGCCACGGCACTCTACCCAGGGCAACAGCTTGAGACTCTGTCTCAAAAAAAAAAAAGATATAGTAATATGATATGTAGCTTACTACCTGACATTTAAATCTATAATCTAAAACAATAGAATCAATTGTAACACTCTTATATGAGGAATAAATTATCTGAATATAACAGCCATCTCAGACTAAAATAAGAAGAAGAGCTTAGGAATTCTCAAATATTTTGAACTATAATTGTACACAAAAACAACACAGAGCAGGGCAGCTGAAAAACCAAGTAGCTAGGCTATGACATTACTACATTTGGATGTGATGTGATACTGCCTAGAAGCTAAATGAAGCAAAACTGGCTTCTTCTCAAGGGCTAGGAAGAAGGCTATTAATGGAACTAACCCTTGATCTCTGACTGCTCACATGTTCCTATCAAAAGTCACATAATTTCCTTTTTTATACAATAACAAGGATATGATATATGTTTATAGGACAGATGAGCCAAAACACTTGAGCCTATCTATGATTTTGCCCCTGTAACAGCACCTTTAAGAAAATAATTTCAAAGGAAAAACAGTATGCTATGGTAAATACAAGGAAACTTAGGTTCTATTCCCCAGTTCTTTGTTTTCAAACTATATGACCTTGAGCAAATCAACTAACTTCTCTGGGCTTCTGTTCCTTATCTGCAATAAGAGAGTCTGGAACAAATGATGATCTCTTCCAGCTCCATGAAATTCAAAGGCTTATAAATTTTCTAATAAAAATAATCCTGTTATTTTAGTGCCAATATTTCAGTGCAAAAAAGTCACAGAATAGGCAGCGCCTGTGGCTCAGTGAGTAGGGTGCCAGCCCCAAATACCAAGGGTGGCAGGTTCAAACCCGGCCCCAGCCAAACTGCAACAAAAATTAGCTGGGCACTCTGGCTGGCACCTGTAGTCCCAGCTATTTGGGAGACTGAGGCAAGAGAATCGCCTAAGCCCAAGAGCTAGAGGTTGCTGTGAGCTCTGACACTACAGCACTCTACTGAGGACAACAAAGTAAGACTCTCTGTCTCCAAAAAAAAAAAAAAAAAAAAAAAAGTCATAGAATATACTTAGTACCACTTCAATTTCCTTACTTAAAATATACACTTAAGCAAAAAAATAAAAATAAAAAACTAATTTGCCACTGTCATATCCTCTTTACAGAAATACAAAAGAAATCTGACAAGGCAATCAAAAAGAGTCCAACACAATTAAGTTCACCCAGACATCAGAAAAATTATTTCTTCAAGTGTTACAAATGCTTAAGTGTAATTCCTTTCTCATATAAAGGCTCTGTTGAGACAGTCACCTTACCTTAATGGCTCAACAGTATTAAGTGCCACTATAATTATTGTTACTGTAATTCTCAAACATAATCAAATAGTGACCAAGAATGAAGCAATTAGGAGAAAGCATAGGATAGAATAGTAAACTACCAATTTTAATATCATCACTCTCTAATAATCCTAGATCAGCATTGACTTTTTCTTTTCTTTTTTTTTTTTTTTTTTTTTGAGACAGAGCCTCAAGCTGTCCCCCTGGGCAGAGTGCCGTGGCATTACAGCTCACAGCAACCTCCAACTCCTGAGCTCAAGCGAGTCTCCTGCCTCTGCCTCCCAAGTAGCTGGGACCACAGGCGCCCGCCACAACGCCCGGGCTATTTTTTGGTTGCAGCCGTCATTGTTGTTTGGCGGGTCCGGGCTGGGGATTCGAACCCGCCACCTTGGGTGTACGTGGCTAGCGCCTTAGCCGGTTGAGCTATAGGCGCTGAGCCAGCATTGACTTTTTCAATCACGCATTCCCTCACCAACTTTTATGGAAAACATACTCTATGCTAGCCACCAGGAAAATGGAGATCACACACACACACACACACAGAGCTATCCTATCTACCCTCAAGTAGCTCTCTCAGTCTCTCTCACAGGGAATTTTGTCCCTTAGATTTAAAAAAGAAAAACTTACAGAAAGATTTTTAAGGCTGCCTCTTATCTTCAGTTAGTCTAAATTAAAGAACTATTTTCCCTACCAAAAAGACTACTGTACATTCCTAAGGAAATAGATGTGAATCTATAAGTATGATAGAGGGAAAAATGTGGGATTTTAATTCAGGAGATCTGGAATTAGGGGCCCAGAAATTCCGCAACTCTGTATAATAAGTTCACTTTACTTTTCTTCACCTATAGAATGGAAATGAAAAGCATAATATCTGCTTCACAGAGTTCTAAGGTTCAAATAAGACAACATATTCATATATGCCTATATATTCATTTACTCATTTTCTGAGAAAATATAGTGTAAGAGTTAAGTATGCAGGCTCTGAAGTCAGACTGCTTTAGGTCTAATCACAGCTATAATCCCTTCATAAAGCTATGAGGCTGAGCAAATTTCTATCTCTGAGACTCAGTTTTCTCTTCTATAAAATAGGGATAGTACGAATTAAAACAAATATTGCACTTGGCATAATGCCTGCTAGATAGAACAATGTCAGCTAACATTATTCTTAGCTCTGTGCTAAATAAAATGAGTAAAAAGGAGAAAAACCCAAAAAAGCTACTAGTTTAGTGTAAGAAACAGATTAGCAAAAAGAAAAAGTTTAAATCATATAAAAATACTTTACAAAGAAAGAATTACTCAAATATCAGCTGACATTATTCTATATAAAGTTATTGAGATAAAGTAACTCAGACTGATTCTGAGTGGGGCCTATGGAAACCCCCCTACACTTAATCACTGTATGGCCATCATACTGGGAGACAAAGAGGGTAAGAAAGATAACTAAATGTGTTCTTATAATCAAATAAAATGCAGACTTTGACACTATCCTAATTAACACTTATTCTACCCTAATGTTAAACAGAGAAGGCAATGATCCAAACATCATAATGCAGTCACTTGCAGTAAAGAAAAACTGACAACCCCCCAAAGAAAAATGAGTAACATTAGTTTCATAACAAAATTCAGAGACAGAAGCCTGTCTTCATATGGAAAAATCCTTAAACAATACAATGCAGCATTCATGTACATCAATAATTAAATACAAAGAAAATATGGGTTGATGTTCCACTTAGGAAAAATATCATCTCCATCACTGAAACATTGTAAATCGATTTTCAGGGAAGAAATAACTTGAAGTTGATCACATAAATTAAGCTTTCTAGTCTGTGGCAGCAGATCCCCTACTTGCCAGCCACTTACACCTCTTTTTAAATGAATATATGTCAATAAGCTCACCTGAGAGCAACCACTGGATATACGTAGTCACAAAACTCACTTGGAAAATTCCCCTAAAGATGGACACAATTTAACGGCTGAAGGATAGGAAGAGTTAGTAATGGAAAAAAAAATCTACTTGAACTTCTGTACATATTTCTAAAAGACTTAAAACTGGGATTTCAAATTGAGTGTCCTCATAAGGGAAGCTGTTAACACCAACACTACTCTTTCAACCAATTCTCCTTCAAACATTGCCCAGTGTCCTAAGTTTTCTAATCAAGGAACATCCCTCTTCCTCAATACTAGACCAAGATCTAAACCTCAAGTCTAAGTCCCCTTGGCCTGCCTCACAGTTGTACCACCATTTCATCCCATTCTTACTTCCACTATGTCAGATATATTCAGATATATTCAGATATATAGTCAGATACATTCACGCAACAGTTTCTCTAACCAGGGCCTCACTCTGGCCTCTTCTCTTCTACTGTCTCCAAAGACTACCACAAAACTCATCAAAATGTCTTCTTTGGGAGGGTATGGAGGATCAAGCTTATAATCCCAATACTTTGGCAGCCCAAGACAGGAGGATCACTTAAGGCCAAGAGTTTGAGGCCAACCTATACAACATAATGAGACCCTCATCTCTACAAATAAATATTAAAAAATCATACTATAGGTGTGGTGGTGCACCTATAGTCTCGAGGACATGGGAGGCTGAGGTGGGAGGATTGCTTGAGTCAATTTGAGGTTACAATGAGTTATAATTGCATCACTACACTCTAACCTGGGCAACAATCAACACCTTGTCTCTGGAAAAAAAAAAAACACATTTTTCTTTAGCTCAAGGGAAATTTTAAATTTCCTTCTTAAAATGGTAAATTGTATGCTTGCTTTGGCAGCAAATATACTAAAATTAGAACAGCAGAGAGAAGATTAGCACAACCACTACACAAGATGATACACAAATTTGTGAAGCGTTCCACATTTTTTTTTAATGGCAGTAAATTCTCAATAAGCCCCACCTAATCTAATTATGAAAGTCATATAATAAGTTACTATCTTAACTGACATTTTTCAATTTAAAAGGTATTTTCACATCCATTATTTCATTTGATCCTCACAACAGATAGGAAGGGCACTTATTATCTCTATCCCAAGACTCAGAGAGAGAAAGATAGTTGTCAAAAAAACTCAGCTGGCAAGTAGCAAAGCTGAACTTCCCAAGTTTGTATGATTACAAATTCAATGCCCTTTCCACATATGCACTCGCTCTCTTAACCAAGAAAGTGTAAACAATAAACCAGCTATCTAAATGTCCTATAAACAAATTACCTAGCTGGAGAAACAAGTCCGCAGAGAAAAAAAAAAAAAAAAAAAAGAACTCCATGTTAAACAGTATCAGGATGAAAATATAACAGCACTAGAAGTTGGCCACCTTTCAATAAATCCTGTGGCCAACAATAAAAGAGGCATCAAATTATCCCCTGATACTCCATTAATAGTAAAGTTAATCAAGAAAGAAGGAAACCAACATTTATTGAGTCCCACTATGTTATAGGTACATGGCAGACACTACAAAAGACATTAACCCTAACATCTCCGTAAAGTGGATATCCTATCACTATTTTTCAGTTAAGTAAAATAAGGCTTATCTGAGGGTTAATGGATTATCCAGTGATGGTTAAGAGATTTATACAATATTATCTAAAACATGGCGGTACCAAGATTTTGAATGAAAACCAATCCTCAAATTCCAAAGCTGAGGCTAATTCCAGTAATTACATCATGCTTTGGAAACTTTTAACGAATTCTTAAAATATCATTATATCTAGAAATTCTTTAATTTTGGAAAGATAATCAAAATACTCCATGTGCCTTACTGCTGTGATATAAGATTAAATGATAAGAAAAGCAATTAGATACACATATCTGACCACAGATACTAACTCATTTATAACACATTTTTGAGCCAATTGCTTTATTATCTAGCAGTTTAATAGAAACTTGAATGTATTTTCAGAGTGGCTTTTAATAATACTATAACTGAAAACCAAGTATAAGCTTTGAATCTGGTAAATTACCTGTTATTAAATTAGCTAGGATATTTTAATTTAGCTACTAAACTACTCTGAATTTAAGTTTTTTGTATAGGTAAAATGGAAACAATATCCACCTCTCAGAGTTTCCAGTAAGATTTAGAGATAATATAAGTAAAACACCTAGGGCAAAGTCTCACATATAATAGCTATTATCATTCCTGCCCTCTCTGGATATTCAGCTAAAACATGTAGTGAAAATTAGTAACTCAAACATACAATATTCCAAATATAATGAGTTGTTTGGTACCATGGAAAATAAGCATTCAGATGATTTAAATTTTTAATTTTCATCAGATATTTTGGCATTAGATAGAATTTTTTTAAATCCCAAATAATAGAAACAAATCTGGGTAGTTTGCCTTGAAACCCTAAGCAGAATTTCTTCCCCTGATCCTCTAGTTACCTAGTAACCACCTGCCAGCCCCAAACTAAAGAAAATTGGCTCTGCACCAGGCTAATTACCCAACCAGCCTGAACAACCTAAAATGAAGTCTGAAATAAAAGGAATTGTCGGCCAGAATGTTAGTGAAATTATCCACAACAGGAGACCTGAGAATCCAAATACCACCAGGCAGTTATTTCCATGAGAATAAAATCACAATTTATGAGCCCTGCAAATTATACTGTTATTAAAACAAACATCCCATTGAGACTACAGCTATCAGATAAATGGCTTTATTGTTCCCATTGTTATATCCATTGCAGCAAAGAGGTGCAAACTGAATGAGCAGTTACCAGAAGCAGTGATTTCTAGGAAATTACAATTCTACCTCCACCTTAAAGCTCCCTTTGTGTTGAAGTGTACAGGCTCTAAGTGGAAGAATGGAGACTCAACTATTGTCCACATACTCCCCTACTCAAAGATCCCAACAACTTCCCAAGGAAACTCACCAGTTCTCCCATATTTTCCTATTTGTTCTCCCCCCACCTCAGGTTGTTTCTGGGCTCACCCAAGAAGAACAAGCTCAATTCAGCAAATCCATTTTTTTCACTAGGAAACCTTTAGACAATCCTCCAACCCAAATAAACACAAACGGAGACAAAAAAAAATGGCTCAGGTTTCCCTAGCTCCCACAATACAAAATTATCTCCTGCTAGAGCAATGAGAATGAGCTAGTACAAACACATGGCATAAGTTTCTCCCAATAATAAAAAACAAAAACAAAAAACTTTATAATAACTGCAAGCATCACAAAACTTGAACTATATTTACAGATTTAAATGGAAAATCTGAGACACACTACCTAAGAGTTGTCCTATGATGAATTACATCATGGAATGGGGAAGGCAAAAGTAATCCCTTCAGGCTCAGCACCCACAGCTAGTGGTTAGGGCGCTGGCAACGAACACCGGGGCTGGAGGGTTCGAACCCGACCTGGTCCTGCTAAACAACAACGACAACTACAACAACAGTAACAACAACAAAACAGCTGAGCGTTGTGGCCGACACCTATAGTCCCAGCTACTTGGGAGGCTAAGGCAAGAGAATTGCTCAAGCCCACGAGTTTGAAGTTGCTGCGAGCTGTGACACCACAGCGCTCTACCAAAAGCAACACAGTGAGATTCTGTCTCAAAAAAAAAAAAAAGTAATCCTTTCAATACTAGCCCAGTGAATCTACAAATCTACCAATTTTAGAAATAAAATGAACAAAACTAGCATTACTGGACATCTGCTATAAGCCAACCACTGTATACACATTATTTATAATCCTCACAGCAACCCTCTGAGGGTTGACTATCTACCTCTGAGGTAGAATATCTACTGACAGGTAAGAATTAAAGGCTCAGAGAGATTAAAAGTTTGTCTAAAGTCTCATAGCTACTAAACTAAGATTTGAATTAAAGTTTCTAACTTTAAAGTCTAAACACTTTTAACCTTTGGTTTTCACTTTTTTGTTCTACCTATTAGAAGAATATTTAAAAAAAAGACTTATTAAAAAATCTATAAGAGGCTCAGCACCTGTGGCTCAAGTGGCTAGGGCACCAGCCACGTACACCTAAGGTGGTAGGTTCGAATCCAGCCTGGGCCTGCCAAACAACAATGACGGCTGCAACCAAAAAATAGCCAGGCATTGTGGCGGGTGCCTGTGGTCCCAGCTACTTGGGAGGCTGAGGCAGGAGACTCGCTTGAGCCCAGGAGTTGGAGGTTGCTGTGAGCTGAGATGCCACAGCACTCTACCCAGGGGGACAGCTTGAGGCTCCGTCTCAAAAAAAAAAAAAAAAAAAATAGTTCTAACACCATGAATCAGTCATAGGACACAATTCAGATTATATAACTTTATCATACAATTCACTTGCAAAATTTTCTTTTAATTTCTTAACAAACTTGTGAAATATAACCTTTCCCCACTTTACATGTGAGAAAACTGAGGCTCAGATTTTGTGATTTGCCAAAGGCAAAATGGAAACTACAAATCAGAACTCTGACTAAAAGCTCATCACCTATGCAGCTTTCAGCTTTATCACAATGCCAGGCTTAAATATACACAGAAAGAACTCCAAAATCTGTTGTGGAATTCTTTGCTTAATTTGAAGAACATCTGTTCATAATTAATAGCATGTGGAACACTAGGCATGGAGGTGAAGCCTTGCATCCTATGACCATCCCCTTAGAGCCTCAAGATGCCTAAATCTAAACTTTTCAGCTTCAAAAACTCTGGAAGCCCATTCAGTGGAAGAGGACAGGAGCTCTTGGGGACAGAAATGAGTTTTAGCACTGACCTCCTAAATGTACTCTGGCACACCAACTGAAAGCTTAGATGGTAATACCGGTTTCCTGGGATTAAGGGCCTACTGTATGTGTCAGGCACTATACTAGGCTCTTTATATACCTTGTTCCTAATCTTCCCAATGGTCTTTTGGGCAGATACTAGAATCCTTATTTTACACATGAGTAAACTTAGGCTGAGAGATAATGTGAATGAATCCTGACTGGTCTGACTTCAGAACCATTGTTTATAATGATTGAAAGTTGATCAGTGGTTACCTGGATGAGGATAACAGGGAGGGCAAGAGAAGGGATTTCAAAGGGGCACTAGGAAATTTAGTGGAGGTAATGGATATGTTTACCATATGAATTGTGGTAATGATTTCATGAGTATATACATACATTTGTCACAATTTAGCAAACCACGCATTAAATCTGTACCATTTATTGTATGTCAGTTTTACCACAATACAGCTTAAGGGGAAACACATACACAAATGCATTGTTCTTTTTATCATCCACTATCACCTGAGAATATCTGCCTTTAAATTGGGTCTGATCACAGAGAAGCCAGGCCAAAGAATGTTTTCCTTAACCAATTTAGTTTCAAGTTTATGTAAACTATCAATAAAACATCACTGCAAGTTTTAAATACCTAACAATAACAAATTATTTCCAACCATTTTAAAATATATTTCCATACAAATGAAATAGAAATTATAAAATATAGCCTGGTAAAAGGTTAAACAGTAAAGTCTTTGGCATCACACAAACCTGGATTGAAACCCATCCTTAATTTTTACTAGTAAATCTAGTCAGGTTTCTAAATCCCCTGTCTAGTTCCTCATACATAAAATGAAAAGTTCTGAGGAAAAGCACATACTTATTTAATAAATAAAAAGAAAATGACAATAACAGTGCTACTATCTTAATTCAGGCTGCTACACATATAACAGAATACAACAAACATTTATTTCTCCACAGGTCTGGGGACTGGGAAGTCTAAGATCAAGGTACTAGCAGTGTATCTGCTAAGAGTCTACTTCTGGGTTTGCAGACAGACCTTTTCTCATTGTATCTTCACTTAGTGGAGAGCACAAGAGAAAGTAAGCTTTCTGGTGTCTCTCACTTTTATATTTTAATACAAAGGGTTTAATAGTATTTGAAAAGGAAAATCCATTAAATCAACATAAAGTTCTTAATCTATGGAAATGGCTGCTGTTAATTATTTTACAACACTTGGTAAATATCACCATTGTTAGATTACTGACAAAAAAGGTTTCAAGGCTCAAAGCCTGTGGCTCAAGTGGCTAAGGTGCCAGACACATACACTTAAGGTGGCGGGTTCGAATCCAGCCCAGGCCCACTAAACAACAATAACAGCTGCAACCCAAAAATAGCAGGGCATGGTGGGCGCCTATAGTCCCAGCTACTTGGGAGGCTGAGGCAGGAAACTCGCTTGAGCCCAGGAGTTGGAGGTTGCTGTGAGCTGTGATGCCACAGCACTCTACCCAGGGGGACAGCTTGAGGCTCTGTCTCAAAAAAAAAAAAAAAAAAAAGGTTTCAAGAATCACTTTTCTTCCTGAGCAAGCCAATTTTACTTTGGGGTAAATTAAAATCAAAACATGAGCACCTTTGTTTCTTGAATTGACCCACTTTTCATACTGATGGACATGTATGAAGTTTTGATTTTCAATTCAACTATCACATGAGGTAATTGTCAGCTTTCTTGAATCTATTCAATGGATTAGGCAGATACAACCCTTCCAGCATCAGCATCCTCTGCTATTACTCACTGGGGTACTCTCAATTGTCCCTGAGTTTTGTGGGCTGGTTGGAAGAGGGCACTTGGGAAGGGTGTGCCACTGAAGGGAGGTCGTCAGTCACTGGAATGCCTCCAGGGATGATCCCTTCCATGGCTGCAGGCAGTCGTCCTGGAACCACGCCCAAAATACCTGGTGGGTATCTGTATGTGGCACCACTGAGCTCCGGATGAATTGCTTGTTGGTCTATTGCTGACCTGGCAAAGAATTCCTTGTTCACACAGTTTCCTAAGCTTTCTGGGATGCGACCTGTGATTGCCCGCCAGATCTCCATGGCAGCAGCCTCCCTCATTTCCAGTGAGGCCTGCTCACTGTACCAGGCTGTGTGGGGAGTACAGATGAGGTTTGGTGCATCCTTCAATGGACCCTGAGCAAAGCTAAAGGGCTCGGATTCATGCACATCCAGGGCCGCCCCTTGTATCCTGCCCTCCTTGAGGGCCTGGGCTAAGGCTTTCTCATCCACCAGGCTACCATGGGCCACATTCACAAGGAATGCTCCTTGCCTCATCTGCTTTATAGTAAAGTCATTGATGAGGTGATGGTTATGTTCACTGAGACTGCAGTGCAAGGAGACACAATCGCTCTCATACAGCAAGTCCTGTAGAGTGTAGACCCTCTGCACTCCCAGGGGCCGCTCTATCCCATCTTGCAAGTAGGGGTCATAAAATATGACGCTAAATCCAAAGGCCTTGGCTCGAACAGCAACCGCTTGCCCCGTGCGACCAAAGCCGACGAGGCCCAGTGTCTCCCCGCGGATGCGTGCTGCTCCCGAGGCCACCTCTCGGATCTGCTCCACACTCTGTACCCGCATGCCCTCCCGCAGTTCCTGGTACAGCCATGTGTTTCTCCGGTATAGGTTGAGAATGTGGCAGATGGTGGAATCGGCCGTCTCTTCCACTGCTGCAGAGGGGATGTTGCACACAGCGATCCCGAGCTCACCAGCAGCCTTGATGTCCACGTTATCGTAGCCACTGCCTATCCGCACGATCACTCTCAGGGCCTTGAACTTCTCCAGATCCTGCCTGGTGAGGGTGATGGTGTGGTACATCATGGCGCCCACAGCCTCGTTTAACACCTTCTCGTGGATCTCCTGAGTAGACTGGGCGTCACAGAAGGCCATGGTGGCCAGGTCCTTCAGGATCAGCCTCTCCACTGTGCAGTCACGGCCGTCCAACAGCGCTACCAGGGGGCGGGGGTGCAGGGGGCCGTTCATGATCTGGGGGCGGTTACCTTCACAAATTCTGTTCAAGCACTGTCTCTTGACTTTGTGATTATCCACAAGGGCCATTCTTTATGGAATTTTGCAACTCTCAGATTCAAACGGCAAAGCAGTCCTCTAAGAACTTAGGGGAACTCGCAGGAGTCTGCCTGCGTTACGCCACTATGAATCTGTCCACAAGCTCTATAGTTCACACGGTGGGCTGTTTGCCTTTTTAAGGAAATACAGTTTCATGGGTTCAAAACCATTTAAGGTGATGAAACCCCTGTCCCAAGCAACCGCGTCCTCAGTGAAAGGAGCCTACTCCGGATGCTGCGCGGCAGCGGCTGTGCAGCACCCCCTCAGCGCGGCAGGGCCCCCAGTTCGGTACCTAGCTCCTCAGTCCCTTGGTCCCTTGCTCCTCCAGCCGATACCAGCTCCTCCAGGCCGTGTCTGAGCCATCTTAAAATCTGGTGTCTCTTTTTATAAGAATACTAATCCCATCATGAGGGCTCCAGCCTCCTGACCTAATTATTTCCCAAAGGCCCCACCTCCAAATACCCATATAGTTGATTAAGGCTTCAACATACAAATTTTGGTGAGACACAAACACACTCAACTCACGGCACTACTATTTATTGAATTTATGCTATATGCTAGAACTAAGCACTTTAATTATCTCATTTAATCCTCCCAACAACTGTACCATTAAATAACATTATATCTCCATCTAAAAGATGGAGAAAATTATAGAATGATTGAGTAACTTTGAAGGTAACATAGCAAGTAAATACAACCACTGGGATTTTTTTGTCCAATATTTAAATTTTTATTTTGTACCCCTTGGAATGTTACATATATCATTATGGGTATAAATACAGCAAATAGGGCAGTTTAGTTTAGCCAAAACAATTGAGATTATTTCAATATTAAATATAAATCAGAAATAACCACTTTTTAACCTTATATGAATGGTATGCACAGTTCAAGTCAATGATAAATACATAGTAAGACTATAAATAAAATGTTCATAATAAAAATTTCCTCTTAAATGACAGTATTCTTTTATATATCTATTCCTCACATAAATAGGTTGCTTTAGCACTCATTCTTCTGTGCTTCTTAAAAGATCTAGCATCATAACCAGATATTATTAGTTTTATGTAGACTCATAAGTAACCAGATAGTTTTGTGTATCTATATATATTTTTTACATCTGAATAAAGGTTAAAGATTCAGTTACTCCATGTAAATAGCTTGCTGAATTGCCATTAAAATGCCTGCCATTTCCAGCAAGTAAAAAAAAAATACATAGGTGTGGTGGCTCACGCCTATAATTCTAGCATTCTAGGAGGCTAAGGCTGGTGGATTACCTGAGGTCAAGAGTTTAAGACCAGCCTGAGCAAGAGTGAGACCTGGTCTCTAAAAATAGCCAGGGGGCCTGGCACAGTGACTCATGCCTGTAATCCCAGCACTTGGGAGGCTGAGGCAGGTAGATTGCCTGAGCTCATAGGTTCGAGCCCAGCCAGAGCCAGAACAAGACCTTATTTCTAAAAATAGCCAGTGATTCTCTGTCTCCAAAAAAATAAAAAATAGGCTTGGCGCCTGTGACTCAAGCAGCTAAGGCACCAGTCACATATACTTGAGCTAGTGAGTTCGAATACAGCCCAGGCCCACCAAACAATGACAGCTGCAACCAAAAAATAGCCAGGCGTGTGGCAGGCGCCTGTATTCCCAGCTACTTGGGAGGCAGAGGCAGGAGAATCGCTTGAGCCCAGGAATTGAGGGTTGCTGTGAGCCGTGATGCCACAGCACTCGACCCAGGGTGACAGCTTAAGGCTCTGTCTCAAAAAAATAAATAAAAATAGCCAGGGGTTATAATGGATGCCTATAGTCCCAGCCACTTGGGAGGCTAAGGGAAAAGGATTGCCTGAGCCAAAGAGTTTGAGATTGCTGTAAGCTATGATGCCAGAGCACTCTACCAAGGGCAACAAAGTGAGACTACCAAAAAAAAAAAAGGAGATTTCAATTCCATTTGATATATATATTTTTTGTTTGTTTGTTTGTTTTGTTTTTTTTGGAGACAGAGTCTCACTATGTCACCCTCAGTAGAGTGCTGTGTCATCATAGCTCACAGCAACCTCAGACTCTTGGGCTTAAGCGAGTCCTCCTGCCTCAGCCTCCTGAGTACCTGAGACTACCAGCCCTCGCCACAATGCCCAGCTATTTTGTTGTTGTTGTTGTTACAGTTGTCGTTGTTTGGCAGGCCCAGGCCAGGTTCGAACCTACCAGCTCTGGTTTACGTGACCAGTGCCCTAACTGCTGAGCTATAGGCACTGAGCCATTTCAAATATTTTTTTAAGTATCTATTCTGGGCCAGGCATTAGGGATAAAGAAGGCATCCTGCTTTCCTATAGCTTACAAAAATAAGACTAACAGAAGAAAATAAAAATATAATTTTCTTCTCTACTTTGCTATCTCTTATATTTTTGCAAGTTGATTGTATAAAACCATCTCTGGGCTCAGTGCCCATAGCTCAGTGAGTAGGGTGCCAGCCACATATACCGAGATTAGCAGGTTCATGCCTGGCCCAGGCCTGATAAACAACAATGACAACTGTAACCAAAAAATAGCCAGGTATTATGATGGGCACCTGTAGTCCCAGCTACTCAGGAGGCTGAGGCAAGAGAATTGCTTAAGCCCAAGAGTTTAAGGTTGCTGTGAGCTGTGACACAATAGCATTCTACCAAGGGCAACAAAATGAGACTCTGTCTCAAAAAAAAAAAACCATCTCTGGTGAGAAAAGTCATCTTCCATTTTTAATTTGAAGACTCATATGCCTTCATGCATAAAAGAAAACTGAGGTCACCATCTATTGTACATCCAGGATAGAATAACACTGAAAAGGTCCAGACTAGAAAAGTGAGATTCAGATCTGGTTTTGGTCTCTTGAAATTTTACTTCTCTAATATCAGAGCTTCTATCCAGGAATCCAGTTAAACTGCAGGATCTATCAACTACCTAAACACTTCTGTCTTTATGGTCCCATCAACCTTTAACCCTTTCTACTGAGAATGTCCAAATCCAAGCCCACCTAATTTTCAGGGAGTCTGTAGGTATTATAGAGGTAAACAGGGTGCTAAAGACTCAGTCCTTCCTACTTTGGTAGATTTCATCTTCATCCAAGCCACCCAAACAAAGAAAGAAACCACTGGGATTTAAACTTACCTTGCAAAATTATTCTGAGGAATAAACTTGAATACTTAAAGAAGGAAATAAAATACTGTCAGTGTCAGTATAATATAAATGACACAGCACCCTATCCCCACCCCTGCCATCTTCAAAGTCATTTCCTCTGAAGATGACTACTCCAATGAAAGGGAAAGTTTAATTTACTTTTAACTGATGAAAGCTAGCAGTAAACACTTTACCCAATTTATACCTAATTCACAGTCTACAATGTAATTACTATTTTTCTGTTTTATTGATAGAGAAAATGAAATCCTGAAATGTTACATAATCTTCCATAGTGGCACAGACATTAGCCACATCACTGGGGTACAATATAAGTCTTCTTTTTTTTTTTTTATTGAACCTGCCACCTCCAGCATATGGGACCAGAGCCCTACTCCCTTGAGCCACAGGCGCCGCCCGAGTCTTCTTTTTTTTTGTTTGAGACACAGTCTCACTTTTTCACCCTCAGTAGAGTGCCGTGACAGCCCACAGCAACCTCAAACTCTTGGGCTTATGCGATTCTCTTGCCTCAACCTCCCAAGTAGCTGGGACTACAGGCACCCGCCACAACACCCGGATATTTTCTTGTTGCAATTGTCATTGTAGTTTACCTGGGCCGGGCTCAAACCCTCCAGTGTCGGTGCTTGTGGCTGGCGCCATAACCAGTGTGCTAAGGGTGCCAAGCCAAGCATAGATCTTCTGACAGGAAATGGAGACTTTTCCATTTGACTGGTTACTATCCAAGCCACTTAGAACCACACTCAATAATTTTTCAGAAACCATTCATTAGGCACCGTAAGCAGTATCTTCAATAATAGCACAGAATCAAAGTTTCATGGATTCTGGACTTTAAAATCTTTGCCCTAATTCATGATGCTTACAGTGTTTGCACTTTTTTTGGACAGGGCTGGGTTTGAACCCACCACCTCCAGTATACGGGGCTGGTGCCCTACTCCTTTGAGCCACAGGCGCCACCCCAGTGTTAGTACTTTTTTTTTTTTTTTGAGACAGAGCCTCAAGCTGTCCCCCCTGGATAGAGTGCTGTGGCATCACAGCTCACAGCAACCTCCAACTCCTGGGCTCAAGCGAGTCTCCTGCCTCCGCCTCCCAAGTAGCTGGGACCACAGGCGCCTGCCACAATGTCTGGCTATTTTTTGGTTGCAGCTGTCATTGTTGTTTTGGCAGGCCCAGGCTGGATTTGAACCCCCAACTTAGGTATATGTGGCTGGCACCTTAGTCACTTGAGCCACAGGCGCCGAGCCTGTTAGTACTTTTTAAATGACATCTACATACTAATATGCTCAACCTTTTTCTCACTTATTGCTGGTGTCGGTATGAAACTGATGCTCAAATCCGTCAAAATACTATTGTCAATGAGTAAATAAAAAACAAAAACCGGCTCGGCGTCTGTGGCTCAAGCGGCTAAGGCGCCAGCCACATACATCTAAAGTGGCGGGTTCGTATCCCCAGCCCGGGCCCGCCAAACAACAATGATGGCTGCAACCAAAAAATGGCCAGGTGTTGTGGCGGGCGCCTGTAGTCCCAGCTACTTGGGAGGCTGAGGCAGGAGACTCGCTTGAGCCCAGGAGTTGGAGGTTGCTGTGAGTGTGATGCCATGGCACTCTACCCAGGGGGATAGCTTGAGGCTCCGTCTCAAAAAAACAAAAAACAAAAACAAAAACCAGAGTACTTATATAGCACATGTATAAGGTTCTTTCACATGTATTAAATCCTTGCAACAACTTTTAAAGATAGATATAGATGAGATTATCCTCATTTTACAGGGGGAAAAAACAAGAGATTCAGAATTCTTAAACAACTTACCCAAGTCAGAAAGCTAGTAAGTGGATGAACTGGGGTCCAACTCAGGTCTTCTGACTATATCCAGAATTGTACACATGCAAGACCTAGTCTCTTTTACAAATAAACTCAGGTTTCTACTCCTCCAAT